TCATTATTCCATACAGCCCAACTCCGAAAATTCTCGCGTCCGGCTGCAGCAGCGACGCATCCGTGACAGCTGGTAAATAAAGGCTCTGACGATCCAGGTTTCGTGTCAAGCCGGACATGGGTGGGTCGCGCTTTCAATAATTCCGTGTGTTGCATATACCCCAAATCTTATTCCGTGCGCCCTGAATGCCCATTTCACTGGGTTGTTTTTTTTGAGGCCACATAAACTTATCTACGCCTCCCAGCCTTTCTGAAGTTCCCACAAATGCGTTTCCCTTGGCTTCAAGTCAGCCCGTTTTGTACTACAAATTGAACGTACTAAGTTTTTTAGATTGGCCACAGCGTAGTCTCACACACCTGACCTATGCACAAATAGAATATTATGTATATGAATTCGTTCTAAATAAATGAGAGCCTCTGGACAGACATGACCTTGTCGACACACAAACAGGATTCGACCGGGATTGTGTTCAGAAAGAGGTAGATTTTGGATATAAAATATGCACAGGACAACACGTATCGTTGCACGCCGTCCGTGATAGGCTGATCATATGAAAACACACAGTTAGCAGTCCAAACAAGAAACGGCGTGAGTAGGTACCAAAAGAATCAATAAGCAAGCAGCGCCGCCGATTCTATAGGATCATGGTCAAGAAGCCCGTGGATTGCATTGTTCAGACGTTGTTAACCTGTAAATCACGACCAGTCCGCCGCAATTCGTTATTCGGACATCTTTAGCCCCTGCTCCGAGGTGATAAACAAACATCTAATTATCAAAGGCGTCCTATGCGTCTGACGGAGCGATAGAGTCATCCTTGGTTACCTTCTTGCTGGACAAAATTGAAAGACCGATTCGAATGGCGGCGACGAGGCTTATATCGATACCCGCTGCGTGGGGCCTGCATACTTCCAGAAGCTCCACCGCCGACCGTGCGAACTTGGAATCAAGAATCAAGGCGTCCCAGGAGCTGGCGTCAGTCATCTCTAAACCAACACGAAGTTGCCAGATCTGGTCGCAAAGAGGCTTGTGTGGGACAAGCGGAACACCCGTCCACGCCGCCTTTTGACACTGCGCGAGGAATATTGGCTCAGATGCGCAACCAGCAAATGCAAGAAACGTACGTACCTCGCGAGTACAGTATCTGATGACACCACACCGGGCGCAGACCGCCGACCGGGACACTAGCGAGTTGGTGCAGCCAAGGTGCATGCATCGGTTCCTATTGCGTGCTTCCCATATCCCCGCAAAGGCGCTCAAGTACATTTCTTCGTACTGAGTCAGAGGTTCCGGCCCATAACCCTCAAGAAATATATCCCCGGTGCTGAGATGTTCTTCCACAGTGGTTCTGGGAGTCGCAAGACGGCTGGACTGCGTGAACCACATACGTGTCTCCTCCATCACGATCTCGTTCAGGGGCTCCCAGATTGGCGACATACGGGCCGCAATCGAGTTCATCTGCTCGAGCAGCGGCGTGATGATGTGGATAAATCCCCGGCCGTCAACGAGGGAAACTCGGGTGAAGAACATGGTGATTGCATTCACATTCATCACCCAAACATCGCTTCTAGGTACGACACCGCCCGGGAATGTGTCAACAGAGTGGTCCAGGTGCTCAGTGGCAAGGAGGAAAACACTCGGTGTTCGGAACAATTCCACGGCGAAAGGCTCCCAGAAGCGTGTCAAGGAGGTGATGAGGCTGAAGATCGCCTGCCCGTGCCCGGGCTCGGTAGCCCAGAGTAAGACCGTGGCGAGAATCTCCGAGGCGTTTTTTCCGTGTGGCAGGATATCGGCCAAACTACTTGGCCAAGGCTGGTATTCCGGATGCACACCCTCCTTTGGCTTCCGGAATTTTCCTGGCGTCATGGTATAAAGAACCGCGGAGAGATTCCCGCACAGGGTAATTAGTGTTAGGTCAAGAGACTTTACTGGGGTGACTTCAGCTCTGATTTTCCGGTGGATGTCCAGCAGGGTGGGTCGCTCCAGATTGCACTGGCAGGCCATGAGTCGCTGTCGACGCGCGAGATGTTCGTCCTCCGACGCTGCACCACAAATGAAGTCCATGGCGCAACGGAGAAAATAAGGTTGCTGAAAATCGGTTTGTCCACCAGCATTAGAGATCGAGGCTATGGCGCAGAGGATACCCAGGATACAGGATGAATCACGGTGCAGAGGATCTCGGAGACTGGAATGCAGAACAACCCGATAGGGATGCTGTTTCGCGGGCATCTTAGAGGCAGAAATGATCATCAAGCAGTGTAAGATTCAAGTTTCCGGAGCACTCAACGTACTCGAAATTGAAGCAATGAGAGAGAGAGAGCTTGGAGATGAGGAACATCACCAAATCCGGAAAAATAAGATTTCGGCTTGTGAGGATCATGACATTTGCACAATAGTTGTCCCAAATTGGACGCGCTCACAAGCGCTCACAATCTCACACAATTATTGCAGATTACTGCACATCGCAGATCCTCGCAGACGAGCATCTCCCACACTTGTATCTACTGACATGGTGGTCATGAACACCTAATGCAGGTGAACAAACTGCGAAGCGGACTAGTAGAATATGGAAGAAAATAATCTACCAGAATTAATTTTTCAGCGTACTCCTAGTGACGGACTACTGCATAAATGTCTGTAGAGACTGTCCCTTCTTAATTTGAATCGCTACTAGTTGACTACTAGTAGGTGATGTTGTGGAATTTTGTCGCCGCAGCTCAAAGAAATATATACATCGGTGAAGACTCTGGTCCTCCGGAAAGAACATAAGTACGCATTTTGTGCGCCACAAACAGGCCACTAAAAGTTCCAAAAAGAATTGCGGAGATCTCAGGCCGATGGTCCGTGCGCAATGTTTGGCAGTGCATCTTATCACGTGGTGACACAGCCATGTTGTTCGCAACTTTTGCTCGTCTCCTCCCTCTCCGTTCCCGTCTGTCAACCTCGTTGCCCTCTACAACCTACGCACAATGCCATTGCCAACACCATCGTTGATATACGGACACAGACACCAAAATTGCGCGCTCGCGGGATCGAGTTCCTCGACCTCGCAGTGCTCGAGCGCATATGCGGGCAGCCCCCCTTGAATGGTGTTCTCGTGTGGCTTGTTTTTTCTCTCAAGCTCCTCAATGCTGCATCAAAGCTCTCAAATTCCTCAATGAGGCCGCCATGCCTTAGGGCGACACAAGCACTCCTCAAGTCTACAAGTACTTCCCTGTCCTCCGTCTTCAAATTCTGCCTCTCGGAGAACGTCTCTCAAATGTGTCTGCTATCCTCTGCTGTTGCTGCGAGCCTGTTCCTCTGCGCCGCCTTCCAACTTCAAATTGCGCAAAGTATCCTGTTTCATCAAGCTTGCTCTTAGCCCGCGTAAACACATTCCTCGTTGTTTCTGGACGTCGTCATGATATTCAAATCGTCAACATTCCATATTCCATATCCGCGCTCCAAGCTCGAATTCATGCAACGGTACTCTCAGCTCATTCGCCCCGCATTGTCCCGGATATCAACCATTCCTAGGAGCCGAAGGTTCCCGCTTAATCTCGTAGTTTACCTACCTCTTGAATATTACTTCGTTTCTCATATCATAAACGTGCCTGCCCACAATTGAGAAGGCTTTGGAATGGATACTAGATATCTAGTCCTATTGCACCTGTCTTGAACCCGATTGGAAGCGCAGAAAAGCCCTTATATGTGGTTGCAGGTGCTGTGAACTCCACAATTATTGTGCGATCTGTGAACATGATACCCGGGCAGATGCGATTATAAGTGCCTTCACAATAATGGCGAGGTTTGTGAGGATTATGCCGATGATAACCGCATATAAGCGCTCGTAATATTTTTCCGCATTTGGTGATGAAGACGCTAACCCAAGAGGTGCTTGATCTCTGGATCACTACATACGTCCCACGACCCCCCCCCCCCCCCCAGAAAAGGCAATGATGATCAATGGCAGCGTCGGCGATCAATTCTGGGGTGGCGCCACTCGACGCGTCACCATCGCCACTCATGTCTGTCTACGCTCGCCTGTAGGGACTCCACGGGTGCTCAGAACTTCTGCTCAATGGGATGTTCAACGGGGTACTCAGTGGATGTCGGGGCAGGCCAGCAATGCAATCGGAGAGTCAAAAGTTACTAAAAGTCTTTGAGTGCAGATGTTTTCACATAGTTGTAGGCCCAGTGAGAAATATAATCTTCAAGTCCATAACACAACAGGAGTACTTAAGCACTGGCAGCAGAAAGCGAGCGTGCCAGCGCTGCAATCCGAAACGAGAGATGTGGCTGTGATGCCGACGATCCGAGCTCCCATCAGTGATGTCGCTTCACCAGATCATATGGAGAGATCCAGAGATCAAGCACCTCTTGCGCTAACCGAGGCCACGTCACCAACACGTGGGATCAGCCCCGGACGGACCATTTTCGTGGACTTGGGAAGTATTTGAACAGTGAGTTACAGAAATACTTGGGCAGCACGCTAGGATAGTTGACCCGAAGGCCTATAGAAAATTACTGCAGAGGGATGAAATGGGGATTGCAACAAGGATACTGGAAATTGTCGTGCTAAGTTCAAGCTCCGATTGATGGCATCTTGTGCCTTTTCGCCTCATGTCCTCCATCTCGGTCAACGTCAACTCAGCACTTGACACAGCAGATTCTTAATTTCTTATGCAAGCCAAGAAAGATTGTGTAGTGCCCAAGTTTGCAAATAAGCCACATAGGTCCTCGTAGATGAATCGGCACATTATCCATTCCTTTCTGTATGATACGTTGAAGAAAAGTAAATAGAAGGCGGAGGTTCGAATCCTTCCGAGGGCATGTGCGGTTTTTGTTTGTTTCTTTTAATTTTCTCAATCGTTTGGAGCGCTGCATGCATTCAACGCTGAATTTCAGGCGGAAGGCACGACTCGGAGGAGTGTGAGTAAATGCGTGCGGGATGCATCAAATGCAGAGGGTTGTGTGTGTCAGAATGAATGAGACGGCATCTGAGAGCAGATATAAGGTGAATAGCCCTTGTAGATGAATCGTTACATCATCCATTCCTTGTAACTAAAATTTCCAGGCGTAATTAGAAGGTGGAGGTTCGAATCCTCCCTGGGGTATAAATAGATCACGAGATTTTTTTTTTGCTGTCCTGGGAAGATTCGAGGTAGATGCCGGGCCAGTCGTAAGGCAATGAAATAATAAACTATTTTTCGACGAGGAGGCTATTGAAGGCGTAGAAATGAACATGGTACTTAAGATTTGAAACACGGGATATTCGGCCTTATCTGCGCTTACAATAAAGGACAGCATCCTTCATGGCTGAACTGGCACATCTTCCACCAGCCGTGCTGTGGTATATACACCTGTGCCGGTTCTAATCCTTATGAGGGTGTACATCGAAAGCGCGTGAGTCGGAGAACGGGCCGATTTGCGCCGATTGCTGCCGAGATGCACCGCCACGCCCAGGACTCTCTTCTGCTCTGCGTCGACCTCTGCCGCACTACATCGTCTTATGGGACGATAATGCTGACCCCGGCGCCTAGCCAGAGGTGCCTCTCGCAATCGGACGGGCAGCTCAGCAGGTGAAAGAGACACCAGCGCAGCGCCTGTTCCGACATGGAGCGCTCGGCGGTGTCCTATTCGTTGCGCCGCTGGTGTGATTACGACTGACCTGATATGCAGACTACGAAACACGACGCTGCAATTCGTCCGCCCATTTACGTTTCCCATCCCTGCGCCCTACGTTCCGCTTCTCGCCGTCCCTTCACCACGCAGCGGTCGTTATGCCGCGCACCACCCATCCGTCCTTCTACCTTCCACTCCCTCTTCCACTTCTGCGCTGTTCTGATCTTACCACCCCTTCCCCACATCCCGCATGCGCTTCCTCTACACGTCACATCACACTCATCCCCTCCTCCCACCAACTCCGCCTCCCTGCCATCCATCCCTCCCACCCCTCACATCCCGCGCACTGCACTGCATCGCATCGCATCGCATCTCATCCACACCTCATTCCCCCGCACCCATCCCACTCATGCCCATTCACTTCTCATTATGTCCTCGGCCGCATAATATATGAATCCCAGCGCCGACTACGTGCCTTCCATCTCGTCTTCTTCCAACCACACTAGTGGTGATGCTCTGTGTGCATCTTGCTTCTCCGCGTCCGCCTCTCTTCAAGTCTCGTTTCTACCAACCCACCTCCCCAGCAGCCGCGCTCCAATTTGAAATTAACCTCCACGCGCAGTCTTCAAATCGATATCACGCCCCATCCGCGCTTACGAGGATCCGCGCGCCTGAAATAACGCCCGTCTTGTTACCGCTGGCTGTCGCCACAGGATACTCATTCGAAGCCCCCCTCCCTCCGCGTCTTCGCAGGCTCTTTAATCCCACCGCACGCGCTGCCCGTCTCACATACACATCCTGCTCCTGCCGCGACTCTTCTGGATCTTCGAACGACTGCGTCGGGTCGCCTCTTCCTGTCATCGAACTTTGCCCCCAATATACCGCGAGTCTCCTTGGTATCAACAATCGCCACAACCACCGGCATAATATATGATCCACTGCGCCGATTTCTTCCAACAACACTAGAGTCGTCCTAATCCTCCATGTACATTTTCCCCGCTCCAACTTGGAATTCCCATCCGCGCGCAGGCTTCAAACTACCATTCCGGGCACGCCCACCTTCTCCATCTACGCGGACAAGAACCTGCGCTTTTGAAATACAATAAATCCACTCTGGCGATGTCGTTAGCCTTCGGAATTCTCCCCGTCGGTACGCATCACAGGCATTTCTCCCGTCGCCGTCGCGGGAAAATTCTACCTACCTACCTACCTACCTACCACCCCTCAGTGTCGCAGCCTTTTTTGGAAGATGTCGTACACTACGCTTCTCGAGCGTTCTCCGCATCTACGTCTTCGCGCCGCCCCGATCATGCCCCCGCCTTTTTGTCTGGAATAAATCCCGCCATGGAGGCAAGAGCAAGGTTAGGTGCATACCATACCGAACGATCGCGCCAGTGGCTCAAGATCTCTAAGAATGTATCTGCATTGTTCCTGTGTCTGTCTCGCGCACCTAACTACTGCGCTACATATTCAGCCGACCGGTTCCACCACAATCCAATCCGGCACCGCGCAAACTGCAATCAGCGTCTTACATTTCAATACCGATCCATCAGACGGCGCATTTCAACTTTCATCGCAATATCAGTGACAACACACTCATGTCCAAATGCGAATTGGAATCTGTTAAGCGCTAAGCAGGATCTTTCCGAGTCAAGACCCTGCTCGTCGACAATGTCGAAAATGACGCGCGGTCGACGCACGAAAATCGCTGTCTTCTCTGGTCTAACACCGTCCTGCTCGGTCGTGTGTACTGCAAATCTCGTTCCTTGCGCGCTCCCAACGCACATTTGACCGAAATTTGACCGCCGTTTTTTTGCGGCCACTCGTCCGCGCGTTTCCTTCGAATTTCGGCAAAGCCATCCATACAATGTCTTTCGTTTTTACTCATCAATTTTCTCCCCCCTCGCGGCGAAGCTTTCGAATACCGGACTCGGGACCCGCAGAATTCTTACTCACACGGCCAAAGCGTCCGACAACTGGTGAGATGTCCAAATCAGGCAATTCAATCTCGTAATATCCAGCAGCTCGTTTCGTATACTGGCGCCATTCTACTAGCGAACTGGTCGAGGTATAGCAGAGAAAATCCGAAGACGTACGCGGTCCTCTCGATACGCGGCACATGAAGATTGACACTCTTCTAGCTGGGCCGACACGGACGCATGAAGGACGAGACGCCTCGATGCGTGCGAACGAAGCAGCCGGCAGAAATGTGCTGGTGTCGCAGGAAGTCTGGGACGACAAGTGCGTGGTGCACGCTTGCCGTCAATGGACTTTCATATTTTTTGTGCATGATTTTTTTTTAAATTTGGATGCGACCCAGCGGACAACAGGTGGATGTCTTGGGGGCGTCTGCGTGATGCTTGCGTTAAGTAGATCCCTTCGCTTGCCAAAATGATATGGATATGGCGTGTGCAATTCAGGAAGCCGTCGCTCTGAGTGTGCGCACTGCTGCAACGCACAAAGGGATCAAATGTGTATGCAATCACCAAGGGTATTGAAATAGACGTGTCTTGTGCCCAAACCGGAAATCTCGTCCGTATTCGGATACTCTTCAACCGAAAAGCTGTTTGATATTGCAGGAGCGCGACGGAAACTCGAAAAGATGTCTGCGATACAAAGGGATGTCCCAAAAAGGATGTTTGTTTGTCCATCGCTCTTAGTACCTGCTTTAAAGGTCTACCCTCTCTCTCTATTGTCTTCGCCCAAAGCAGACAGTCCTCGATCGACTATTATCAAGGAACTTCTATTGTCCTTCGTCATGCAGTGCAGAATCATCGTCGCCTTGGTGCTCTCTTACAGTAGGTGGCCCGTTCTCGCGGATATATATAATCACTAACTATACATCCGCCCAGTTGCGCTCTCTGTATCAGCGGCTCCTGCACTCTATTTAAGCAAGGGGCTGCACCTCATCAACCGCGAACCCATACGCCATGACCGAACTCACATCCTGCCTTCTTTTTTTTCTAACTTTCGTTAGGAAAACGCAGGAGTTCCCCGCGCACCCGAGCCCGAGCCCAAGCCGGGCTGCAAGGTGTACCTGTGCATCTAGCGCGTCCTCCGCCATCGCTCCCAGAGTTCCAACTACTTTACCCTCCTCCAGAATCCCACTTCAGTATTTTTACTCAACACCGCTCTCGAAGCACTTGTTCGTGCCGCTAGTATTGTATCCCTACTTTGTCTTTCGCTCTTACTTTGCGTTCCTGGAAAATATTTGGATAGACCTGTATTTCTGCTGCTCTTGTATTCTGCATATATACCCAGAAATACTTTCATGCAGACAAACGTTTCGCCAAATCTAAAGACAATCAATTTACGATTTAGGGTTCCTGTACTTGCGCAGAGGAAAGTAATTGTGGATCTGGTTATAAGGCTTGTCCCAAGGCCGAAACTTCGTGGTTCTTAAACCTAATTTATTTTTATTGATGAGTGCGATTGTGGGAGGCACTACCAAAAAGAAGAAAAACATTGGAGAGAAACGATAGAGTTGAAAAACAATAAACCTTTTGACGAGAATTGAAGCCTTCTCGCCACATTTACCAAAAAAGAAAAAAACATTGGCCGAGGCGCTTGCCAAAAACGGTGGTGATTCATCTAGAGATTGGTTCAGAATAGTATATTACATCTTCTTCTTGGATGCAATATACCAGGATCAGCAGATACTCGGCTGGGACGGAATTCCTGATCTTGACACGTCTGTTCGGAGTTCTGAGGCTTCGGCTTCTGAGGAGCTACACTAACATATTCAGTCCTGCGGTTCGCTCTCCTTATGGTCCTCTTTCTGTGAGGCACTGGGATCGAAAGCACTACGATGGGAACGGCGTAATAAATTGAGCAACAAATTGAGCCGGCGGCGACGGAATCAACTAGAGCTGAAACAAACATCAATTTAAATAATGCACTCTCTATTTACTGGTAGCAAGCACGGTACGCTGGGGCACGTGTGGCGGTAGGCAACTTGGACTGGAACATGGCACAACGCCGCGGCAATTTGGGTGGAAAGGGAGGGGAAGGGAGGAGAAGAGAAGTCGCGACGCGGGAGTATGTGGGGTGATGCGGGAAGGGGGAGGGAGGGTTGCGGGGAGAAGCGGCGCGAGCTGCCGGGTGGATACAAAAGTACCGAGCGGAAGAATGGGACCGAGATCACGAGAAACTGCAGGGCCGTGGGAGAGGTGAAATGGGAATGGGTGAAGTGTTGAGGGGATGTGACGGGTGACGATAATTGCCAGGCTGGACGAATGAAAGGTGGGAGGGGATGAGGGGATGGAGGGGGTGAGGAGTGTGGGATAAGGATGCACAAATTGGCGAGAGGGCGTGTGGGGCGACGGCACCGGAGCGGAGGGGAGGGGAGGGGAGTGATAGAGAGGAGGGAATATGCGCGCAAAGGAGGACAGGTGATGGGAGAGGAACGGGCCAGCACGGCGTAGATGACGACGCGTGGTGAGATGAGCGCAGCCGGCGGAAAGGGAGAGGAATGTACGGCATGGGTAGGAAT